CCCCCCCCTTTTTCTTTTGAAAAATTCTTGAAAAGCAAAAAGGATCCTTTAAACATCCTTTCTTTGAAAGATAATCCATAAATGCAAACTTTTTGAAATAACGTCTTTATAAACACTCTTTCTTGGGAAAAGAATCCTTCGTCGAGAAAGGGTTTAAGTGCCCTTTGAAAAAAAAAAACTCCCTAAAACATCCAACCATATGAAACCACCCATAAAAGCAATTTTTTGAAAGGATAAAAGTATTACTTTTGCAAAAAAGGACTACAAAAGCAACTTCTGTGGGGGAACGAGTCATTAGAGGCATCCTAACATGTAAAAAGGCTCACTATGAGTAATCCTTCGTCAAGAAAGGCAAAATGTGTCCTTTAAAAAAGGATCTCAAAAGCAACCTTTTTTGGAAAGCTTCTCAAGGCACCCTTCCTTGGAATGAAGGCCCCTATTCATACCTCCTCATCCTGAAAGACCAAAAATGTCCTTTGGAACATCCTTTCTTTGAGTAACGTTCCATAATATCAAACTTTCTTTGATAAAGGATCATCAAAAGCCTCCTTCCTTAGGAAGACGGTAACAGAGAATATTACTTCTTCCAAGAAGGCGAAATATGTCCTTTTAAAGAAAATATAATTGAAACATCCTTGCTTTCAAAATCGGTTCATCATTTTGAAAAAAAAAACATTATTTTTTGGAAAAATACCAAATATGTCCTTTTTATAAAAATGTCCTTGAAAATACCCTTTGCATGGTTCCTCGGTCACTGAGATTATCCCTTCTCCCCAAATAGTTAAAATGTGTCCTTCTTTCATAAAATGTACTTAAAAGTTTCCTCTTCCTTATGAGCATCCTTTTTTGGAAAAATTGGCAAATATGTCCTTTTTATTTAAAAAATGTCCTTTAAAATATCCATTGCGTTATTCCAGAGTCACTGAGTGTATTCCTTTTCCCAAATGTGTAAAATGGGTCCTTATTTCAATAAAAGTTCTTAAACGTATCCTCTCCCTTATAATCATCCTTTCTTGGGAAAAGGCTAGATATGTCCTTTTATTAACAATTTTCCTTGAAAATATAATTTCAATGTTCCTGGATCACTGAGAGCATTCATTCTCCAAAAGAGGCAAATGTGTCCTTGTTTAAAAAAGTTTCTTAAAAGTATTCTCTTCCTTATAAGCATCCTTTTTCGGAAAAAGGACCAAAATATCCTTTTTTAAAAACTTTTCTTAAAAAATCCTTGACGTCTTTCCTGTGTCACTGAGAATAAAATTGGTAAAACGTATCCTTGTTTCGGAAAAGGTTCTTTAAAGTAACCTCTTCCTTATAAGCATCCTTTTAAAAAAGCCCAAATATATCCTTTTAAAAAAATGTCCTTGAAAATATCCTTTGCATCGTTACTGGGTTACTGAAATTATCCTTTCGCACAAACAGCAAAAATGTGTCCTTGTTTCGAAAAAGGTTCTCAAAAGTGTTCTCTCTTTGAAAAAGGGTCCAAGTGGTCACCTTCAATTGTTGTGTTGTCATCTCAATTCTGTCCTTATTCAAATAAAAATCATTTGAACATCCTTTTTGGAAAAAAGGGTCAAAAATTGAAAACTTATTTGAAGTGTCCAAGAATAGTTTACCAAGAGGCGTTGCTTCTTCGTGATGGGATAACAGTGTCCTTTTCAAAATTGTCCTCAAAATGACACTTTTTTGGAAAGGTTTTGTCAATGAATCCTTCTCTGAAAAATAGGTTCCATGTGTATTCAAGATCTTCCGTACAAAATTCGTAAAGAATAAGAGGAAAAATATTTGTTAGAAGATTTTTTTTTAAATTTGAAGATTTCTTCAAGAGATTCGGAAAAAAATCTTGTACCAAAAGGCGTTGCTTTTCCGAGAAATGGTTTCCATTCCTTTTAGTTTCCTTTAAAAAAAAAACCTTAAAAGGCCATTTCGCATAAATTTTTTGTAAAAAAAAACCTTCCACACTTTCCATATTTTTTCAGGGTTCTTAAGGATACAGTTCGTAGAAAATAGGTGGAGAAAGATTCGGGCACAAAATCGTTTTCCAAAGGGCGTTGCTCTTTCGAGAATAGTTTGCTTTTTAAAAAAAGTCCTTAAAAGACCATTTTTTGGATAAATTTTTTGTAGAAGAATCCTTCCACACTTTCCATATTTTTTCAGGGTCCTTAAGGCTTCAGTTCGTTGAAAATAGGTTGAAAAATATTTTTTGAAGGATTTTTTTTTTTTCAACTTTCAAGATTTTTTCATCAGATTTGGGCAGTAAATCGTTAAATCCTTCGAGAAATGCTGACAGTTTCCTTTTGAGAAAAAGTCCTTAAAATGCCTTTTTTGTAAAAAAATCAGAAAGAGCTTCCATATTTTCCATATTTGTTCAGGGTCCTTAAGGACAAAATTCGTAAATAAAAGGTGGACAAATATTTTTTAAGATTTTTTTTTTTTTTTGGAATTTTCAATATTTTTTCAAGAGATTCGTGACAAATATTCTTCCAAGACCTTCAACGACAAAATCATAAATTTCTTCATGGACCAAAAAATGGTTTTTGATGGAACATTCTTAAAAAAATTTAAGGACCTGAGTCCAATACACATTGGAGACCAGGGGCTGAATTGTTTTTATGGATTGAAAAATATTTCCTTTATATTTTTTTTTCATTTCAATTGATACCCAGGCGCTAATATTTGTACGAATATTTTTTTTTTTTTTTTCAAAACTGCCAAAAAACTTTCTGTGCAAAAAACCTAATTTTTTTGTTAAAAAATTACAAATTCAACAACGTTCTGGAAAAAATCCATCAAACTATATTTTCGTTCAAAAGTTTCCTACCATTTTCCAAAGATGTTTTCCTTAAACTACAGCCATTTCCTAGCCAAAACACCCGTCATGGAAAATTTGCCATTTTCTTAAAACTATCACGCAGTCTTACACACGCAAATTAAACAAAACTCCAACCTCAAAGAACACAAAACTGAAAACAGCTCAACATGTTCTCGGCATTCATGTTTGAAGTTGTCTGTGGCTTGTTCAGTTCTGTTCTGTTTTGTTTGACTTGATTTTCTTCTTGTTTCCCTTGTTTCCATGAAACGACTTCAAGACAAAAGTCTGGGCATAAAATGTCTTCTTCCTTTTCATGCTTTTGCTTGACTTTATTCAAAACGTTAGCAAAAGAAGAAGAGAACCAAAGAACCAAAGAAACACAAAACTCAAACTTGTAAAACTGCTTGGTTACTGCTTTTATGGAGGCAAACGAGGTGTTTTTTTTTTTTTTCATGTTTCTCGACTTCATGAGTTTTAATTTTCTTAAGCGAAGCGTTCTATCCTTTGCAGCTGCTCCACAAACATTGCAGCACTTAAGTGTTTGTCTAAGGACAACATCCAAAGAAAGAGAGAGAGAGAGAGAGAGAGGAGATCCAACGACAAAATGAGTAAAGTAATAAAGGTAATTTGCTACTTGCCATGCTGAGTAAATAGAGGATAAAATAGACCAACTTGACGATGATGGGACGTGACGACAAAAGAGGAGATTGAAATTAAGAACTTTAGTGGCGGAGGAGAGCATGTCATGGGGAAAATAATTTGGTCGAAATTTAACACAATATTCTTATGGGAATAGATTATTCATAACTGAGTTCCAGGTTAGAAGAATACAGGTAGATGCATCAACTCTTGGAATATGTCAGCTTTTCCAACCCTCAGCCATATGGCTAGAGGGAGTATATATCATTTGATATGGCCAAAACGTGCCTCATCGAAAAAACGATTTTAGAACCAAGGTCTCTTTGGACCAAATCCGTTTTAGGACATTTGAAGTCGATTTGGCGATGTCCGTCCGTCTGTCTGTCTGGCTGGTGCGAACGATAACTCTCGCAGGAAGTATCCGAATTGATTCAAACTTGGCACATCGTAATATTATTGTCAAACTTAGATCGAGTTCGGAGATGGGAAATATTGGTCCACTCCTCCTGGTACCTCCCACACTAAACGCAATATTTTCAAAGAAACTTATTAACTGCACAGAAAGCGGAAGGATAATCCGATTTTGCTCCAACTTTGCAAATCTCAATATTTGAATCATTCCTAGGTTAGGTGAGAAAATGAACAATATCGGCCCACTCCATGAAGTACCTCCCCCACAAAGGGTCAAAATTTTGAATAATTATAATTCTTATAAAATGTGATGTAAGCATCCGATTGTCTTCAAATTCCACACATCACAAAATTTATATTAACCCAAGGTCTGATGTGAAGATGGAATACATCGGTCCACTCCTTCTAGTACCTCCCCCACAAAGGGTCCACATTTTGAATATCCCTGTAGCTCATAAAACACGAAATTAACATCTGATTCCATTCAGACTTGGCGCATCTCAATACCTCTATCAACACAAGATCTGTTATAAAGATAGTACAGATCGGACCATTCCTTCTGGTACCTCCCCCACAAAGGGTCAAAATTTTAAATAACCAATACGATCATAAAATACGAAATAAACATCTGGTTCTCTTCAAATTCCACACATCACAATATTTTTATTAACCCAAATTCTGATGTGAAGATGGAATATATCACCACTCTTTCTGGTTGGTATCTCACTCACAAAGGGTCAATATTTTGAATATCCACGAAGCTCATAAAACGCCAAATTAACATCCGATTTTATTCAGGCTTGGCATATCGCAATATCTCTATCTAGACATGATTTTTATAAAGATGGTAGAGATCGGATCATTTCTTCTGGTACCTCCCCCACATAGGCTTCAAGATTTTGAAAAACAAAACGTTCAAAGAAAGCGAAGTAAACATTCAACTGCCTTCAAATTTCACACATTCAAACAAGTTTGCCAACACAAGATCTATTATGGAGATAAAATATATCTGCGAACCCCTTCTGATACCTCACCCACAGAGGTTTACAATTTTTAATACTCAGTGATTCTTAAAAATTTGCAATATCTAAATATTTCTCTCATTTTAATAATATTTCATTAATAAATTTCAATTCCAAAATTGGTTTGACAGCTCATTGTTCCAGCAGCAGAGTCGATGCGACTACCTGTATTATTTTACCTTGATGGGTTCTTAATAAGAAGATCTCTCTCCTACAGACCTCTATAAAATTGTATTTTAAGAGAAGAGTGTAAACCGTTTTCTCTCTATTTGCCATGGTTCTTTCAATCACCACGACTCATCTATCAAAAATAAATGTGTTGACATAAAATTGTGTTTGATTTTTAATAAATTGAATATTTTTCAAAAACTGCAGCAGATTCAATCAAATTCACCATGATTCCCGGTGTGTGTTTTTCGGTGTTGACAAATTGTTTCATACGATAAATGCCATTTATCACCCGAAATTTTAAGACAGCCTCTTCAAGTAGTCTCCACCTCAATTACGTGCAGCGGCATGGCTCTCAAAAAATCAAAGATGAAAAATGCAAATCATCCATGGAACACATTAATATTGGATGAAAGAAACCCCAGGTCTAGCTTGCGTAGTAGGCTTTTGTTTTAATTTAATTAGCATGCATGACTGAATGTCTGCCCGACTGCCTGACTTTGCGAAAAAGCCCAATGACAAATTACTCCATTCTACCAAAATATATTTTACGCATTCAATCATGGTTGACACATCATCACGAGTTGGCGAGTGAGAGAAGGGTGAGTTTTCAGATCCAACAACCTGTGAAGCATCAACAAATTTGTGGCATAGAGGATATATTGTTTTCTTGGGATTGGGCCAACATGTTGTTACGGGTTTTGGTGGAGCAAAAATAAATTTGAAAAGATATTGCGTCGTTCATGAGCCTATATCTTTTTAACGAAAAAACTTAGGCGAAAGAGTACCCATACATTTTTACTTGCTTTTCGATATCATAAAGGAAAAGTTGGGTATCGTTTGTTTTTACATTCTTGCAGTTCTGCAACAGAGTATCTATCTTTAAGGTGTAGCAATATCGTTAATTAAAAGTAAAATATAGCATATTTTATTTTAATTTATATAATTTTTGGATCATTTCCTGAATATTTTGTTAATTTTGTTTTCGGTTTTTTAAGAAACTGCCAACTATGCTATTATCTAATGAAAAATATTCCCCAATGCTCTCGTGAGAGAGAAGTAGGGATCTCGAGGGTTTACAATTTCATTCAATTTGCCTATTTCAGGAAATACGATGCATAACTGCTGGTGAACGAAGAAGGAAACCGGGGAAAACAGTTTGTAAGTCTAAATATAAAATTTGTATATTTTCTTAATTCTGGCTTAACTTCCCAGCTAGGGATATGTCAGTCGACTTTGGATATGGCCAAATATAATACCATGTTCTCATTGGCATGTGATTAACGACATCAGTAGTCCTATTCTGTAACTTTTATCGATTAAAATGTTTTTATTGTAACAAAAAACAAACAAATGAAATTTTTGAAAAATAAACAATGAGTAATGTTGTTAATATTTTACATAATGGGGCTGCAGCTAACAAAAACACGTACACGAATTAACGCCTCCTTTGGAAACATATGAGAGAGTAAGAGTGAGACTGTTAAATGGGTGTGAGAGAGGAGAATTAACCTCAAGAGAGAAGAGAATTAACCTCTAGACAATTATGCCATGTTTACGTTAGAACTTTTTGTAGAGTTAACCTACTTTGAGAGGATTTATTTGAAGTAAAAGTAATGGAAATGACAATTTAAATCCAAATCCAGTGGGTTAACCCTCATAAATATAAACGTACTGTTAGATTCAATTTGCCTATGTCAGGAAAAACTATCAAATTTTAAAATAAGTTTGGATTTGTTCGAATTGGTCACCTTTGGCACGAATTATGGCTTTCAAACGGACAATGAAACCGTCACACCCTGTCCGAATGTTGCTCTGCGGTATTTTGTCCCATTCCCGGCGAAGCGCTTGCTTGAGGTGATCGACACTTTGGTCTTTTTTAGTGCCAACCTTGCTTTCCATAATATTCCAGACACAATAGTCCAACGGATTGGTATCTGGAGATTTTGGTGGCCATTGTGCGCTGGAAATGAAGCAAGGAACCTCATATTGTAACCATTCTTGGGTGGCGCGTGCTGAGTTCAATAATGCTGAGTCCTGTTGGAATGTCCAAAGTCTGCGGCCAAAATGTTTGCGTCCCAAGTCTTTAATATACCCTCCAGAATATTTTCGCGATAATATTCGGCATTTATTCTGAGAGAGCGGAGAGCGACCATCGGCTGTTATGGCGGCCCACACCATCACCGTGGCCGGTGCTTAAGTTCTAGTGGCTAACCGAAGGTGCACATTTTATTTGGCAAGAAAACCCGATCATTTTGTTTATTCACAAACTGCTGGACAACGAATGTTTCTCATCGGAGAAAACCAAATTCGAAAGTTCACCACTTTCAGCCAAGCAACTCTTTAGCTCATTTGAGTCTATTTTCTTTCTGTTGCGGTGTAAGTTCTTGCACTTTTTGGAATTTCAATGGCTTTACACCGAGCTCATTTTTCAATACTTGGCGAATGGAATATTGCGATATGTTCAGCTTACGAGTCATTTTTCGGCCACTGCGCCGAGGGTTTTGATCAAGTCGCTTCTTTACTTTTCGAACCATTTCTGCTGATGTTGCTGTTTCTGTTTTCTTCCGTCCATTTCTTGACTCGCTACGCTACCAATATCACGGTAACGAGCGTTGATACGAGGCACAAAAAATTTATTCACATTTAAATGCTAGAGTGCTCGAACCATAGCCACTTGTGGTTTTCCAGCCAAATATAAAGAAATCACACTATTACGCTTGAATTCCATCACGAATAACTTTTTTCCGGGAAAATTCTCATCAAAATGCTTTTGTACGCTTGTAAACAATATTATGAGCTGTCACTGGAATAATTTTAACAGCTGTCGGACGAGTGGCTTAGAAATACCAGCAGTCTGAAGTTGGTTGCAGTTTTTTCAACTCACCCTGTATTTAGCTTCTTCACTTGTTTAAAGAAAAGGAACGCATCCGATGAAAATATTTACCTCCCAGTTTATTCCGTTATGAATGGCAATAGTTACTCACCCAAGAAGCACATTTATCTTCTTGATACCGGATGGAATATTTCGAATGACAACGGCACAAAATACCCAACAACAACAAAAACAATTCTGATGATGTTGACAATTTCATTTTTGCAGTTTTCTTTGGTTTTGTCGGCTTTGTTTTAACGACGCTTTCAGTGCGTTACCCGTTAAGCGACAACCTCAAACACGAGGTTTGAATGAAGCTGCGCTGGCATGTCACTGGTTCTAGTATCCGTTTTGTGGAAATCTTTGTTGGCTCGGCGTTTTGTTACATGATTGATGCTGGTTGGCTGGTGTAAAACTTTTGTTATTAATTTGAAACGGAAATTTGATATAAATCAAGAATATGTTGTTGATGGAGGAGATGGCCAGAGTCATTTATTCCGACGACTAGTTTTAGAAAATGGAAATGAAGGTGATGTGAATGCTGGTATTCTGCTAAGGTGTTTATGACCCTCTTTTTCGTGGGATGTTGAAAATGCGACTCCTTTAGGAAAAGCTACCTTTAATAAGGAATTGCGCCTCTGTTAGGGCTAATGCTTGAAGAAAATGAAATATAAGAAGAAGCTTCTTGTAATTCACACGGACCAAATCAGGTGATTTAGACAAACATGATGGCTTCAAAAGAAAACAAATAAAAATACTAATTTAAAAAAAGGGTCCATATTTGTGTGGCTTAATTTCAAAAATGGATAGATCCTTCTTTCTTTTTATTTGACACTATTATCTATATAATACCGATCAAATATCGTATATACATAAATTAACATCTAACTTCTCTCTTTCTCTTCCTCTCTCTCACTCTCTTATCGACCACAAAGAAATTAATTAAATTCTTTAATACAAAAATAACAAAAAAACTTCATTAATGCCATCTAAAACTAACAGTTTAATAACCTCAACTAAAATAGACAACTACAAGAAAAAGTTTTCTCTCTCTCTCGTTTTTTCATTTCTTTTTTTTTCTGGCAGACAAGAAGTCATTCAACTTTTAATAGTGTCTCATCTTGTTTTACCTTTTGTTCTAGGGAATTTCGCTGCTCCAGCATTTATCCATTGTTGTGAATGTTCATAAATAGTGTTTGGTGATGACAAGGCTCCTCACATGACAAGAGAGAGAAAAAAAAACAATGCAGTTTCTCCGCTGCATTCATTCCCCTCTAAACACGGCCATTTGACAAAAGAGTTTTAAATAGTTGATGAATATTGAGGAGATAGAGTGGGGTACACCCCATGAAACTGATGCCATGAAAAAAAAATAGAAGTGACAAGAACTGTGTTGCTGATACTTGGAACAATAACAAGGATGCAAAACTATTCCATGCTACATGCCTAACAGCATGTTAGCTATTTTTCCTGTTTTCCAGAAGGTTTGCGTATTTTTTCGCAGTACTTCTTGGCAGGCAACAATGGCTGTAGACATAGGCAAATGTGTAAAAGACAGACAGAAGCAACAAGACAGACAATACAAAAAAATCCTGTTTAGAAACTACTCAGAGGAAATTGTTAATCTTCTTAACAATGCATACAACAGCTAAATATGCAACAACAACAACAGCAGCAAAGACAATGACAAGATGATGAAGACAGCATAAAGGAGCCGAGTGCGTATTGTGTGCCAGAGGCTCGTTGTGTGTTTCAAATTCAAATCTCCCAAAAGAAAATAACACAAAACGCTTTTGTCTCAACAAACGGGAGGAAATAATAATGATGTGACAACTGTAAGCAAAAACGTTTAAAATGCAAAATCTTGGCAATTTAAGGAAAGGCGGCGTGTCTGTCCGCAAAGGGGTAAGAGGAATAATGGAAACAAGAAAAATGCACTTGGTACACATTTGAAACCGGGTTTTGGGGATGTTCTATTATTTATTTGTGAAAAGTTGTAAAATTTCAAACGATAAGCGATATTATTGGTCTGAGCAAGGTGTTAATTTTATTACTTCGATAACCGATTTTCCCTTTATAATATCCAAACAAGTAAAAAAGCTGTAGGTTCAGCTGGCCCGAACTTTGAATACCCTCCACCATTTGGAACGAACTTGGCAATTTTCAAAAAATAAAATCCGTTAAAAATTCTATTAAAATCCCAAAAAATCGAAGGTAGCCGTTATATTAGGGTTTATACGACGATGTGGACCTGCATAGGCAACTTTTGTCATATTCAAATGCGAAACTTGAAAAAAATCGGTGAATAATGTCGCTAAAATCATCAAAATATCGAATATAGGGAGGTACCGTTGTATGGGGGCTATACAAAGACATGGGCCTGCACAGGCAATTTTCTGTCATAGGCTGTAGTATCCATTACGAACTTCAAAAATCAAATTTTAAACAACTCCGGTGAATAATGTCGCTAAAATTATCGAAATACCGAATACAGGAAGGTACCGTTACATGGGGCTATACGAAGACGTTTACCTGTACAGATAATTTTCTGTCATAGGCTGTAGTACCCATTATGAACTTCAAATACCAAATTTGAAACATTTCCGGTGAATAATGTCGCTTAAATCACCAAAATACCGAAAATAGGGAGGTACCATTATATGGGGGCTACACCAAAACGTAGACCTACATGACCATTTTTAATACCAACAGTCCTGCAGACATAATATACATTTGGGTAAAATTTTATCAATCTTCTTTGTTCGGGAGGTAGAGTGATTTCCACAGACGTACATCGCTAAATCGACAAAGTGTTTTATGCTGATCAAGAATATTATACTTTGTGGGGTCTAAAATGTATATTTCGATATGTTACAAACGGAATGACAATGCTATGGTGGAGGGCATAAAATTTACAAAAATAATATATTCATGCAGGTTCTAAAACAGATCATACATTTTTGCCACAAGATATGCGTACATTTCGAAGTGAGAAATTTTTATTTTGAAAATTGGATGTTCTCAATTAAATATTTTGAATAATTTGATTATTATATGTTAGCATGAAATAACCTTGTATAATTTTGCCATTTTTAATCTATTTATTTTATTTAATTGGTTTTAGTTGTAAATGATTCTCGAATTTATGGTGAAACTCAACAAAACTGCAGAAATCGATATTTGTACAAAACTGTCATTCTGAAATGATAGTGTGTACTCTACTTTACTCCAATAATACTGGTAACAAAAGCTAACGGAAATGGTAAGTTTCTCTCTCTCTCTCTCAGCACATGTTGCCAGATGTATGGTCAAATTATTTTGATCAGTTCTCAACGATGCACGTGTGCCATAATGCAGTTGAGCGCATCAATAGGTATCCTTAGATCGAGAAGTAATAAACAAAGAAAATGTTGTAAATATCTGAATAACTACATAAAGAGGGAT